AAAAAGCTGAAAATTAGGATGAGTGATAAGAAAATACATACTTAAACATAAAAGAGGACAAATACTGACAGTAAAATTTCATGCTAGTGAATGCTTTGTGTTTGTGTTCATTTCAAACATTTTCATAGTATGGCCCATATTCAAACCTGGGACAAAAATCAAGCTCAGTTTTCTTTTCAAAACCTCTAAAAAGTTCTCTTCATCTACCTGAATGTTTCCCACAGAATAACCTATCATGACATACTTACTGTATTCTGGCTGGCTGAGAATTTTCCTATGCAAATGATTGGCTGAGTATTCAGCTACTCTAGCACCTGTGAAGAAAAAATATACATAATATGATTTCATCAATAGCTTAATTTCTTCTTGATAACTCTCAATTATCCTTATTTATAAATTTATATGGAATATGGCTTTTCTAAACTTCCCTGCTGACCTACATACTATTCATGCTCTATCTGCTGACTGATAATAAACAGTAAACAGGATTTCTGTTATAACTGGAACCAATTATAATCAAAAACATCACAGCATGTCATTTACCTTCTTTAGCAATTTTCGGGGTAACCTTTTATCTTAGGCAAAGAGTATTTACCAAGGAAACCAACTACATTGTTTATCTCTTGTTGCAATATCAAAACAAGGTGAACAGCACTCTGGTGTCTATACATAAAAATAAGACCAAATTATCGAAAAAAAAATTACTGAATAACCAGTTTAGAAATTGGCTTGCATTAAGTGCAATGAATAACCCCTGTGAGTCCGAAACAAAATGGCAACACTGATTTCCAACTCTAGCTCCTGCTCCAAAGATACTCAAATGATGACAATAAGTACATGTACAGACATTATCGTGACTGTAAATACAAATGAAAGGATCAACTTGCACAACATGGCCAAAGTTTGTCACTTCTATTGTGGCGCTGATCATGTCACTGATCAGATGATAATATTATATCTTATCTGACTGTGAAACCATGGGGAATTCATTATATCACATATAAACCTTATATCATATTTCCTACTCATACTGAACAAGTAATTGTATACAACATACTCTTTTCATCATTCTTTTAAAAAAGTACCAACATAAGAACCATTTCACATTATATTATATTTTCTGCAACAAACAATTTTTATCCTTTGAAAAACTTTTTGTCACATTTTTTACTTGAGTATTTCAATAAAGGTGAGAAGAGGCTAAAAAATGAAAAGATGTTTTACGGGGTCTGATATGTTATTATGTGAAATACTTAATCAATAAGATTATTCAATGCACTTCTAATAAGGTGAAATGTGAAATTCTTATTTTGATATTGTTGTAATAAAAATAAAAACAAACACTTGGAAGCCAAAAATGTTAATAATCCCACTGTGTGTTAGAAAAAACAGAAGACTGCATTTGGTAGCCTGTCAGGAAAAAAAAATACAGTTTATAGCATTTCCAGTTTCATTCAATAACATGAAAGGGAACACACTTATCTACCTACCCTCCATGCTGGGTTCACTCTATAAGAGCACTACCTCAAAAATTTCATGGCCTGTCAATTACAATCGACTGCCTTGATAGAAGAAACAGAAAACTCTTTAATGTGTCTTAACTACCTGACAAATGCTCCCTCGTTATCATAACTGCGCGCACATAGATTACGTGTGCAGCACATCTTAATATTGTTGGTACAACTTGGGTTGTGCACAAATCACTCGAACATGTATTTTGATTACTGCTCATTAACTAACAAGTTTCCTGGTAAGATCCTCCCATAAACCATTTCCCAGTATACAAAGGTCTACTTATGTTAGTAACTAAACATTAACACCAGGCAGTTAACCAAAATACTGCAGGCAGTGTGTTTGGACTAATGTTTATAGCTATTTTCCCACCTGGCACGTTTTACCAAGCCACTACATGCAGGCCAAGGTGCAAAGTGATTATAATGCTTTCTGGTAGACATTTGTTCCTGCTCTTTCCAAGGCATGAGAGTATAAATCATCCTTAATGATAGTTTACTACCTCCTCTTTTTTTCAAATTATTTTTCACTATGACTGCTAAGATCTCACAGCACATTTTTTTCCTGATTGCTTGTTCGATATGCCAACACTGCAATTTAACACAATCCCTGAACCAATCAGCTGTTTTGGACTTAAAAAAAGAAGGAAAATGTGTGGGGTTGAGTAAAATATGTGCACAGCTTACCTCCATGGCCATCATAAACCCCAAAGAAACTGGCTTCCTTATCACCAGGCAGTGACAGCAGGTGTGTATGAGCATCTTCCATATCTGTGACTAAGTTAAGGAAACAACAAAGTAAAAATAAAAAGCACCAGTATTACCCTTGCATATAATTTTAACTTTTTAGGTTAATATATTTCATTTTAAGTAAGTCACATCAGTTGATGAATTCTTATGGTTGCCTGTTGGGCAAGTCTGAAAGAGCATATAGGGTGCACTGCTGCTCCATCTTTTTTTAAAATATTACTGACTTGACTTGACACATTCTGAATTTTAAAATAATGTGCTTACTTAGACACTTGTCTCAAACCTTATAATTAAAGTACACATTTACTGTGACATGTTTTAATTCCTTTTGTTACTTAAGCAGAATATTTCAACGACTTCCCCATTCTTCCTTTTTGTAACATACATTTCTTTTAAACTTATATATACACTCTCAGTGCTTATACCTAAACCATAAGTATATGTAGACACATTTAAGTTTTTTATATCATCATCAATTTTTCTTTCCTTCCAAACATATTTCATTTTGACACTGGGTTAACTGACAACAACAAATTTTCTAGGAGCATCCTAAAATGCCTCACTTTAATTAAATCACAGTTCTGCTGGTCATATCATTGTTTCATAAAGAGAGTGGGAGGACAGATTCACAACCTGCCCACTGCTTCCATTTAGCAAATGAAAATACTTCCTAATAAGATACTGCTGTCTTGAAGAGATAAGAAAAGGGCCATCTTCCTACAGTACAGAATTATTGATCAGTGCATAATTCAATAAAGAATCATAGATACTAATCTTGGTTGATGATGTTAAGCTCTTAGATTTGTTCACATATGAAAAATAGAAAATCCTCAACTGATGACACCCCATAGAATTCTTCAGGATCCATTTAATTTTATGACTTAGAATGCACCTTTAGATCCCAAGTAGAAAATGTCAGTAAAGATGTCTACGGACACAGGTAAGCATACATTCTCAACTCTCAGTTAGTAATCTTCATCTCATCTACCTTGACTCGGCCAGCTTAATGCATTTAAATACTGTTCAGTATGACTATCAGGTTACATCACATTGGCTCCACAGCTTGATCTAATAATCAACTTTTAGCTGACTTCAAGCTGTGAACCCAGCAGGTTAATTGTAATCAATACTGATGAACCAATTTTTTTAAAGTGAATGAATAAAAGTTGTTGAAGATTACTCTGAACCAACTTTTGCAAGAACTAATACAGAAAATAAATTTAAAAAAAGAGATCTTTAAAACATTCACACACACACACACACACACACACACGCACACGAAGTCTTACACAGAGTAATACTGTGACCTAATGACACCAGCTTTGTATTGAATTAAATACTTGTATTTCTTAAGTGTAGTACAATATTGTAACTGTCAAAATAAGCCTAAACAATGTAAGAACACTAATGGCAAGATACTTAAATATTCCTTCAAATTTGAATCAGTTCACAGAGTATACAAGGCCAATGTTTGCTGTATAGGCATGTATATATACAAAACATTTCAATATTACCCTCATTGCTTGATATAAACCATCATTAGGTTTATACATAAAATATTACAAGGATACTGATACGCCATCCCTGCATACAAGAAGACGCTACTTTGTACAAGTGATTGCTACACGTGGATGTATCTTTGGTTGTCACTGGTTCTGATAAAGTCTGTCCCATTCTGAAAATTGAAAAACAAAATGCATTTTAAAAACTTTAATATTTTAATCAAAGGAATTTTTTATGGGTATCAGTACTGCACTTCACAGAATATACTTAACCAGCATCTGCTACCTGCTACATATATATATTAACACTGGCCCCATCCCAAATTCCAGTAAAATTATAACAGGGCTAGTTAGATTTTGTTAACATGTTTAGTTTCTGGTCACTGTTTTTCCTTTTGGTCTGTTGGTTTTTTAGACCGTGTTTGCCTGAACAGCCAATGGGCTACTAGTCAATGCTTTTTTGTACAAAATGTCAATTAAGAGGCTTAATCTGGACAGGACAATGCAGGTATAAAAAAAGTAAAGAAGACATTGGTTTCAAAATATACCTTAAAGCATATAGGCTAAATAAAATGTCAGGGAAGCTTAATTTTCCATATGACTGACATTAAATAACACCATTTTTTTCCGTTGTACCATTTTAATATTGTCATGTTGCTAATGACAGTGTGACTCAGAGAGGTTGATACTGATTTCATATACACATTCCAAGAGAGGTTATCATGTGACACCATGTTTTATGCATTGGGATCAGATTTGGATATGGGCCAGTTCTTTTAGAACAAAGACAGAAATGGGGACAGAAAAAAGTTCAAGATAAAAAGGTTGTTTTGTAGGCAATCTACCAATGACATTCATATCATTATCTCAACAAATGCAAAATTTAATAATACTCCCAATATACCGGTAGTTCTGTTTACTGTAAACTGTACTTAATGTTTTTTTGGCATGATATTAAGGATAAAATTATGTGCACATAACATCTGTATTGGCGTAGTATGGGACTGTTCACAATGAGTTTGGTCAGCCTAGCTTATTTGCACCAACTCCATGGGGACTCTAGCTGAATGGGATTTCAGATCAAAAGACAAACACATACTTGTATAATCACCAGTTTTTTTAATTTATACAAAATATAATCGACTAAACACCAAGGAGGTGGCATGTTAGTCGGTGAATCTGATTGCATTCAGTGAAAGTCCCCATGGAGGAATTAGCTAGGTTCAATAAAATTCATTGTAAACAGTCCCTATGCCATAACTTAAGCTATACTGAAAGGTTGTATTTGTTTTGTGCACTTCTGACTGTTATGGCCCTCTGAGAACAGAGACATTAATTTCAAGAATGACAGTTAAAACATTATAAGATCTTTTAATTGCATAAGACATTCCATCACTTCAGGTTGTAACATGCCCCCTTGTATTTTTTCATACAGATAAGTAAAAACTAATGCTAGATGCTTTACTTGTACTTTTCTTATTACAATCAAAGAGAGAATATATATGTCAATGCTTTAGCTGAATTATCTTATCAATGCTGACTTACACATGCTTGATGTTGATAGTGATAATGGTATGTATGCTAACAGTGATAATATCATGAAATCAGTAAACTGACTATATGCAGAATAAGGCTTATCCCATCTGTGACTGTTGACATCAACAAATCAGTATACTATTGTGCATCTATATTACAGAGCAATATAAGTCTGGACTTTTCCAGCTTAGTAATCAATACCTTTGATACCTCTTTTACAAGAAAATCTCTCTACGACTACCAATGTTAGTAACTGTACTTTGTAAGTCATTGAACATTAAGTTGAGTTTCTGAATAACTGAACATATAGACTTAAAAAAGTGATATTTTGAACTATCTAATTTTTCTTTTAAGTACATTTTTGTCAAAATTTGTTTATGCAAACAATGACTCATCCCACAAAAACAGAGTTAGGCTCATGGCAGCATACAGTGTTTACCAAATGTTAAAAATATAACTTGGTTATTTGTTTCATTTTAAAATACAGATACGATAAATATTTTCGTTATTAAGAATGAAACTATGTGAAATTCTAGTCTGCGATGTTAACCACTAGCCATTATCAGTAAAAATAGGACCAGGCTATTGAAATTTCTGAAAAACAATCAGTTACTGGGCCAGTGGATTTTTATTCTAGTTGAAACATGTACTAGTACTCAAATTCGTCATATGTTTAGGTTAAATGTTAAAGTGTTTTTTAATTCCATGTTTTTGTTCTTATTTGTACTAGGAAGCCTTTTTAATTTCAATGTGTTGTAAGTAAATTTGTTTTTTTGTTTTTTAATTTGTACTTAATTAGGCAATTGAATTTGGTTCTCAGACCCTGGTGACCTAGATGGCCCTTTAGTTAAGAACTATTTGGCACAGACTAAAATTCAGTACACAGAAGTTATAAAATGCTGTTCCTAACACAAACTTAGCATTCAAATGTCAAGAGATTGCATTCCAGTGATTAAAGTGACCATGGCATGTGGATGGCTAAGGGCAGCACCTTCAGTAAAAGTAACAATACATAAGAGCCAGACCACCTCATTGAGAACCTGCTACATTGCATAAATATGTAAAATGAAATTAAAATATTTGGCAGTAATGGAAACAACCCCATAAACTATATGTGACACACAGAAAAATTAATGAGGCAGGTTGTTCACTTTGGAAAAGGCACAGTTAATTAAATTTTATCAGCAGATACATTGACCAAAGACAATATATGACTGAATTTTGAAAAATATTTAATGTTAATTAAAAATAAAAAACGAGTATAAGTTCGGGAGGGGGCATACTGTCAGACATAAGCAAGGCAAGTATCAATAATAGTGGCATTACTAGAAAGGTACATGTAAAAGTTGAGTTGGTCTTGTACTGGAAGGCAGACGGTATGACCGTGAGGCCTGTCATTTCACAGTGACTGTCATTGCAATTTAAACACTGCACACTGTACATGGTGTTGCAGTAGTTTCAAAAATAAAATTTCAAGAAGAAAAAAGGAACGCAAACAGCAAAATAAAACATCGTGGCATGAAAAACGCCGTCTAAGTCTGAATCGGCCAATGCCTGTTCCTACCAACTGTGTTGACACTGCGCTTTCTAAACATTTATCGAACTGACAGCATTCTGCGATGACATTTATATATCCGTACTCAACACTCAATAGTTTCGCAGTTATAGCAATCATACATTTTAGTTACAATTATACTTGCCTGCCTGTTTACAATCTAACAGCAGAAGTCACTTTTCCTTCCTAGTTTTGACCGCATTACAGATAAATGCACGATGTAAATTAGACCGTTAACCTGTTTAAATCAGTAAAGCGATGCTCGCATTATATACAAATATGTTACCAAAAAGAAAATAAAAAGAACATTTTACGGTGAAAAGATTAATAGAAATGACGGTTAAACAAATATGAAGGAAATTGCTTAAAACGCGTAGTAATTTTGACCTATTTCATTTTCTGCGGACCTAATCATATGCTTCTCTTTCAGTAATGCTAGTATTCCAAATAGAAGCCTCGTTTAAGGAAGGGCAGGGAGATGTACGAGAAAAACAAACTGAAAAAGCGCCTCGAGTTCTTTTTCCAATCATTCTAAATACAAATATCTAGTTGTCCTTTTGAAGAAAACAGAAAAGTAAAAAATGAAGATAAAGATATATTCGTGAATTCTACTTTATCTCAAAACTGATGACAGAAAGTGATAAATCAGAATTTTTTGAAATTCATGCCCTGCTAGTATGGAGAGGTTTCGTATTCAATAAAATGTTTCAGCAATGAAAGATTTCAATACAACAACCCTTTTGGCTAATATACACACGTTATTTATAGGATGTGTTCAGAATATTTCCCCCTAAAAGTAAATCATTATAACAAAAAATACATGTCTTTCAGCATAAATTACTAGATTATTCAAGTGGACTTCATTCGTATCTAACGCACGTTTATATTTAATCCATTAAATGAAACTTGTCGAACAGGTAAAATTTAATATGTCAGCGATTGGTAAGATAAGAGAAGTCGATATGAAAAGCAGCAACAAATCATGATTGCGGTGAAACGTAGATTGTGTTAGTTGTGCCAAGAAATAATAATGTGCCGAAATAGTCTGCATGCAACACATCGGCTGACGCATTTCAAATTGTTCAATTAAAAAAAGTAACACGATTAGGCCTACTATTTAGTATATTTTTATTTATTAAAGTTTATT